GAAGGCCAGCGTTACCTGCTGGGGCCTTTTGGAGCTGCCCCCATTGTGACATGTCCCCCGTGATGTCACAGGTGTCACAGCACATCACAGCCCAGCCAGCCCCACCTTTGTCCCCACCCCCACTCAGCCACTCACAGAGGCCCTGGTGTGCTGTTTAAGGCTGCCTTGGAGGGAATCTTCTTCCAAGAACTCCCACTGTTCTTTCTTTTGGGTTTGTTCTCATCTGCCCTCCACTGACAATCTCCCACATCTCCATGTTGGAAGGCACCCTTGAGGCTCACTAACTTTTGACTCCTCACTGCTTGAGCTACACGTCAATCTCTGAGTCAGTGAGGTTGAAAAGGTCCCTGATGATCACACAGTCCAACTGCAACCTTAACACTGCCTATTGCACCAATCAGCCAGGTCCCCAAATGCCACATCCCCATGACTTTTAAACCTTTCTGAAGGTGCTGGCTCAGCCATTTCCCTAGGCAGCAGCCTGTTCCCAAGCTAGACAGCCTTTTTGTTGAAGGAAGATTTCCTAGAGGTTCAATCTAAACCTCCCGGGGCGCAACTTGAGGTCATTTTCCTCTGATTTCCTCCTGTTGTTTGTTCCCTGAGCTAATAGCATGAGCCCCACTGAGCTCCAACCTCCTTTCAGGAACCAGGGGCATGGTGTCAGGTGCTTGGGCTGAGGTGAAGGCAGCTCCTGGCAGAGGAGAGAAAGCTGGTGCTTTTGCACTGCACTTCCCACCACCCAGGGGGACAAAAGTGGCTGTGGGTGGGGAGAAGAGTTTCAGGTTGCCCGGGAGCGTTTCCATGTGAGGAGAACCTTAGTCCCAAACACATCAACCAAGGGAATCCATCCCCTTCCAAGCCGAAGGAGAAACCTGAATTTTCCTTGTAGAAAATGGAAATGTTTGGAGTGAAAGTCAGCGCTGCAATGTCCCTGGATGCCCGTGTGGATTTTGCTACCCTGCAAGGACACACTGTGAGGAGGGGATCCCAAGAAACGCCCTCTCGCTCGGGGGCCTTCCATGGCACGACAGCACAAGTGAGAGCCCTTGCTTGGCCTTTGCCTTCAGCAAGGCCCCGGGTTGGGCCAAGCCTCAATGCCCTGTGAAAGCAGCTCAGATTGGCCGTGCCCAGCATGAAGGATGCCAGAGGACAGAGAGGCAGGCTCAGCAGCGTGCTAGTGCAGTCCAGCTTAGGCTGCAGCTTTCTGCCCTTGTATCTCTGGAGCCTTGGAGGGGAAGGCTGCGTGGCTTGCGGTGACTTTCACCAGCGCTCCTGCTAACAGCACTGGGCACCCCAAGGCTCTTTGGTCTCAGCGCAGGCAAGAGCAGGAAGAAACAAACCCTCACCTGGCTTTGTAAACCCCTGAGACAAGCAAAGACGAGCAGTGTGCAGAGAAGGGACCATTGGCACTGCGCAGCAGCTTCTCTCCGCCATAAATCACAGAAAATTCAAACATTACTGGTTGGCTTTGGCCTTTGTGTTGTGTTTTATTTGGAGCTTTGTTTCTCAAAGGAAAACCTGTTGCATTTGCCATATTGCACAGCTGGATTGGTGAGGTCCGCTCTCTGACTGGGAGCTGCCTAGATGGAACTCACCAGTGTGCCTTTGCCCCTCTCTTTCCTCGGTTACGATGTGTCAGTTCCAGAGCTTGATGGGTAACATCAGCGTTTCCCTTTTCTCCCCTTGTGCTCAGGAGCTGGGGGAGCTGCTGACATCCTCTCCTGCCCCAGCTTGACCCTCGAAGGTTTCTGCAGTAGGGGAAGGTGGCACGTAGCCAGTGGCTCAGCTGCCAGCACCGGTGCTAGCCAACGGGGAAGGCTCATCTCTATGGCTTGAGTCAGCTCACAGCTGCCAGCATCTGCACTGTGTCCTGCCCCACATTCGTCCTGCCACGCAGTCGGAGGGCACAAAAGTCCCCCTGGAAACCACGTCCCCAGGTGCCACATCCACTTGACATTTGTCAAGTGCATCGAGCAATGAGAATTGCACGGACTCCACGGGCAGCCTGTGCCAGTGCTTGACAACCCTTGGAGAGGAGAAATTTCTCCCTAAACGCAATCTCTGCCTCCCCTGGCGGAGTGCTGACTTGAGGCCATTTCCTCTTGTCCTGTCCCTCGTTTCCTGGGAGCAGAGCCTGAGCTGCACTAGCCCCAGCCTCGTGTCTGGGAGTTGCAGAGAGCGAGAAGGTTCCTCTCTGATGCTGAGCGGGACTGCAGCCACGTGTCCCCCTCTGGCTGTGCCCGGCCCTGCTGGCCCTGCTGCCCTGCTGGCAGGGCCCTGAGGCCGGGCAGAGCAGTTCCCTGTGCGGGCACAGCCCATGGGGTGCTCCCTGCTGCGGCCTGGCCCGGCCCCAGAGCAGGGTCCCCCTTGCGGGAGGCCCCGGGGTGGCCGCGTGTCTGCAGCCGGCTGTGGCCGGGCAGCTGCCTCGGCCGTGAGGGCTGCAGAGCTGCGGGAGCCCGGGGCTCTGTGCCGGCCGCACTGCGGAGCTGCCCGCTGCAGCCGGCAGGGCCTCAGCGCCCGCCCGCTGCCCTCCCGCCCGCCCGCCCGCACGGAGGCGCCAGGCCCCGCTCGCTGCTCTCATGGTGCCACTCGTGGCCCCAGGGCTCTCCAAGGGCTTCTGCAGGGCCACCTTGCTGCGGCCTTTCAGCCCCTGCCCGAGGCCCAGCAGAGCCCTGCACGGGGGCTGTGTCCAAGGGCCTGTAGGGACAGCAGCAGGGCCAGTGGCTTCCCCGTGACACGGGGCAGCCTTA